AGCTACTCAAATGTAACAGTGCTTGGATTGCTATGTTACAGGGATTTTTTGTAAAATACCTAAAAGCTAATTTCACTACTTTAAATACTGCATTTTTACAGTACAGCAATTCATCATTAATGAATAAATTAATAATGATTTTTGTCTGCTTTGGAGTAAATAGTGCAATGTTTTAAAGTAAAGTATAAAGTACTAAAATTCTGAAGAAAAGTACAAGTATCTTAAAATTGCAACAACATACAAGCCTTGGGTAAATGTAGTTGGTGTAATCCAGTACTGTAAATAATATTTTAATTGTCCTTATCTGAAAAGTGACACATAACTTAAATTCGAAACATTACAAAAGATACATTCTTTAAAGAGTGTATTCAAATACACATATACCTCAAAGCAGATAAAGAGGTCAAATAAACATCTCTTTCAAACCTCACTCGGTATCTCACTATGGGAAGCGCCTCCTGGCGTAACCAATCATGGAAGCTCCAATAACACCATGTCTGTCCTGAGACAGACCAATCACCTTTAGATGCACAGGCCTGCCCGTCCTCCTTTATAAACGCCCCTGGTGCCACCACGCGGCATTCTCCCTTTCTTCCCCGTGAAGATCAGTTGAGCTCCTTAGCATCTTGATACCTAGAATATTCATTTAACTGCTCTCCGACGCACCCGTCACAGTAGTCAGCGAGACTCTGAGTCCTGTGAGCACTGCTGTGCCATGCCGTTGAGGATTCTGGAGCGCTGCTTATATGTGTCGGTGGCCTCCGAGGCCGCCCCCCTGCCCGCCGTCACAGCAAAGCCCAAGCCGGCTACGGCCAGCGCTTGGTTGAGGAGGAACGACGCAGAGTTTCCTCCGCTGTTCAGCCAGCTCCTCAAGTCAGGTGGTGAGGACGATGAGGAGGATATGAATCTAGATCTCCTTGGTGATGAGAATGATGAGGATGATGAAGATGATGAAGATGCCATTCTCTCCACGGCTCAGCCGTCGCGGCCCAGCAGCTCCGTTGGCGGGGAGGCGCAGCCTTCCTCTTCTCCTCGAGAGGTGGGCCTGCACGAGGTGTGTAAGCGAGCAGCGGCCAGGTTGGCTATTGACTGACCCGCATCGCAGGATGACAAGGGAGAGGAGAGGGATTTGTATGATGGCAAAATCCTGCCTTCTCGTCAGGTCTCTGCAACGCGCCGTTCCAGCGTGCATGAAGGAGATGAAGCAGTATTGGGACAAGCCTGGCCTGGACATTGCTAACAGCAAGGGTCTGGGGCTTGCGGATCCGGAGCAGGCTGTGGTGTACCATCTCCATCCCAACTGCCGGTCCACTATGGCCTCGGCGGGACCCGCCCTTCCAGGTAAAATGGAGTGCTTTCCCGCTTCCATGTACCAGAAAGTGTCTAAGTTTGCAGCCAAGTCGCTTAAAAATCTGAATGTGGTCACCCGGCTCACGGCTTACCAGGCCGAGCTGTTCCAGGACATGGGTCACCTTTTAGATAAGGGCTCCCCAAGTCCGACTATTTGGGAGGAGATATGTGTCGTCACAGACTTTATTCTCTGCCGCGTCATGGGCCTGGCTGTGGCAGGAGAGAGATCGTTGTGGCTAAATCTCTCCAGCCTGCCGGACCAGAATAAGCAGGTCATAATGGATTCTCTGTTCGACCCGTCACAGAATAAGGGCTTGTTTGGTGAGGCTGTTACCACCATGCAACAGGCCAGCGACCTGAGGAAGAAGCAAGGGGAAGCCTTTGATCTCTGCCTTTCCTGCAAGACAGCAATTCGCCCATCACTGCCAACCCGTCTGGGTTTTGCGGCTGTGGCAACGAGAGGGCGCGGCGAAAGCTTTAAAGGCTCCAGAATCCAGGCACCTGAACAGCCAGCGCACCAGCAGGGCTCCCAGGGCCAGAAGCACTGGGGCAAAAAGTGAAGAAGAGGCGGGCAACTTAGGAGCTGTGGTTAGTGGACATAGAGGCTCAGCAGTCAGCACATTAAGGTCTATTTGGCTGCAATTTCAGCCTGCCATGTGGGTTTTGGGAATGCAGTGATTGGACAGCATTCTCTGGTAAGCAGGTTTTTGAAGGGAGCTCGCCGCTTGAGGCCAGCTCGTAAACCTTTAGTTCCTTCATGGGACTTGCCAACTGTCTTGGAGGCGCTCTCAGGGCTGCCTTTTGAGCCATTGGAGTCAGCTGACTTAAAGCTGCTCTCTCCCAAAACTATCCTGTTGCTGGCACTAACGTCAGCCAAACGGATAAGTGAATTACATGCATTGTCTGTGCACACATCTTGTCTGCAATTTGACTATGGGAAAGTTATATTGTGCCCTAACCTGGCTTTTGTGCCTAAGGTCCCGACACTGGAACTGCTGGCTTTTCACCCACCACCTTTTGCAGGGGAGATTGAGAGGCGGCTAAATTCACTTTGTCCTGTCAGAGCTTTGTGCAACTATGTGGACAGGAGTAAGGGATTAAGGAAAAGTAGCCAGCCTTTTGTGTCTTGGGTCCCTCCTCACTGAGGGAAGGCTTGGACTTGTCAGTGCATGTCACACTGGGTGGTGGAGGCTATAGTCCTGGCTTATGAGAGTCGTGGACTGCAGCCCCCGGAGAGCCTGCGGGCTCATTCCACCAGAGGGATGGCCACCTCATGGGCCCTGTTCAGGGGCATTTCGGTGGGTGACATTTGTGCTGCTGCTAGTTGGGCATCCCCACACACATTTATTCGGTTTTACCGCCTAGATGTAACAGCGCCTTTGCTGGCGCACTCAGTCCTGAGTGTGGGTTCATATTAATTGTGTGCTAGCCCATGGGGAGGGCTTGTGGTGGTGTTGTGGGCTTCGGAGCATGCAATTCGGGAGTGGGCCACATCTCCCATAGTGAGATACCGAGTGAGGTTTGAAAGAGAACTTTTGGTTACCAGGGTAACCCCAGTTCTCTGAAAACTGAGTGAGGTATCTCACAACACTGCCGTACTTGCATGGATAGGGTACGTGGAAGAAATAGGCTTGAGAATGTCTCAGGACAGACGTGGTGTTCTTGGAGCTTCCATGATTGGTCAGGCCAGGACCAGGTTTTCAGAGAACCGGGGTTACCCTGGTAACCAAAAGTAATGTAGGCCTACACTAGGTAACTATATGCATTTTTGTGTTAGTCTGCACCCATAAAGACATACGCACAGGTCAAAAACCTTAACACAAGTTTTACCTTTTTCACTTCCCCACCACCCAACTGTAAAAGACTTCAACACAACACAAATGGATTTGTGCAAGAACATATTAAACACAACAAGCTCCAAATCCATACTAAATCTGAACAGGTTTTGAGTAGGTAGGTGTGTTCACACTAGAAAAAGTGACAAAATAAAGTATACTCACACTGTACATAACAGTCAGTATGCAGACTAAAAACCCTGTTGAGAGATTTTTGAGTGTGCTGTTGACTCTGTTCTCCCACAGTTTAATGCACAAAGAAATGAAGGAGCTCCTCACAGCTGGAAAAAAATATTGTGGATAGTGGTTTCAAGGAGCAAAAACAAAAGCTACCTGTAAATGGTAAAGTGTGTTGATTTCTTGTATACTGCAAAAGAGCCTATCACACTTTAGCCTATTCACAATGGCATTACTGAATTCACGTGTTAATTACATATATATAAGTTATTAAACCTTTACAAAGATCATGTCTTCTGACATACCTATATATGTATGAAATGATTTACGTACATCATGAGCTCTTACACATAACATATGACTACTCAAGGGACTGGTGTTGGAAATAAGCTTCAGCTATGTGTACAGTACACTGCCACTGCATCTGTCAGTATTTCTCTGTACTTCTCCCTTACAAATGAACTAATTATAGAAGCCCATTTCCGCCATTGTGACGAGGAAGAAGGATTCATTAGGTCATTATAATGACAGACTTTCTCCAAATATTGACTTAGCATCTCAAAATAATGACTGAGAAACTCAATATTTTGAGTTTCTCAATATAATGACTTACAGAAGACCTTTTTCTTTCGTCAAATTGGCGGAAATATCATGCTGCTTATTTTTCATAGCTAATTTCTGTTCGTCTTTAACATGAAAACTATCAAAATGTTTCTATTCTGCCTCTAAAACTATTCTCTTGTTAACGTGGAAAAGACCTAAAACCACACATAAAAAAATAAATAAAACACTGCTATATACATTTACAAAATAAATGTTGTAGCCATAAAGGAATCCCCATTATATCAGAGGTAGGTGTAACCCCTAGTTTGAAAGTTAAATTTTATTGTTTCAGCCACCACTGTTGCTTTGCAGCATCTTGTTCTCCTGTCTCAGAATAGCTCTTCGAGGCATGATGTTGGCACTGAGGTAACATCTAGTGAGTAGAAGAACACTCTCCTTCATATCTCAATGGGCTGTGGCGCAGTGGCTGATTGCTGCCTGGTGGATCACAAGCCGAACCATTCTAATGTTGCCATTACTCAAAGGAATGCGTGCATCTTGACTAAATACATGCAACAAATCTGTAAAAAATGGGAACAATTATTCTAAAGAGCCATTTAGCTATCCAGGGGGGAATTTCCTTTAACACATTTTATGGAGACTTTGGTGTGATGATGCATATCTGTGAGATATTAGCGTATTAGAGGAGTGGACTGGATGGCTAGAGCTGGGAGATTGCTTTAAGATGAACCTTTTTTTACTGACAATTGAATGTTTTGCTGGGGAGCCTGCGTGTTCACCCCTTACAACAAATACAAAACCACCTCTTATCTTTGTGTTCACAGGCCAAGGTGTTAGGGCTAAATGCAAAACAATACCATTTCAGAATTCAATCCGCTCATCAGCTGCTGCTAAGGTCAGGCTAAAACACAGAGCAATATCTCAAATCGCAATCCATAAAGTGAACAGGTACAAGCAGCAGCAGCACTTTTTGATATCAGATGGGTGTTTGAAAAGGCATACTGTATGCACAAGCGTGTGCTAGACACTTAAAACAGTGCTCATAAATGTAATCCTGTTTTCCTTATGTTCCAGGGAGAATGCGGCTGAGAATACAATTCACCTCTCAGCAGTGGATGCGGCCGGGAACAATGGAGACGCAGAGGTCAGGCGTGTGGAAAAAAACAACAGCACAGAGGTCTGACAGGTGTCTCTGCTACAGTCGTGTCACACGGAGCCTGCCCACACTACGCAAACATTGCTGCTCATTATAACAACAGAGTTGCTGTCATCGAGTACATCTTTACAGAAAGCGGCTTTATTTTCTCATGGTGTTGCATGGCTCATCAAGGTTGTCTACATTCTGTCGTGTTAAGATTAAAAACACAAGGCAATGCAGGCTTTTGGGATTAACCTGCCTGAAGGGATTAGGCTGCTACATCTGTATTATTATATACAGTAAACCACTTCTGTAAATTCTCCGCTTAGGGTTTTGTGGTTAATACCAGCTAAACGACCTGCTGAAAGGTATTTCTAGAGCCAAATGTTTGCATATTAGACTGAATTAGTCATAATGGGCCACAACAGGGTCATTATTAGACACAACCTGGGTGTTCTTTGGAGACCTTGTTGCCTAGAGATTATGTTTTTATTTTACAGTGTTATGCTTAATATGTTCTGATGGAAATGTAATTGCTGCCTGTTTTGTTGGCTACATTTTTGCTTAACCGTAAGGTGTGGAGGTGGATGGTGTACTATGTGCAGGAGGGCAGAGGTTATGCTTCTTTAAAAATGTTCTTGGTGTTGCAAATAAGGCCCACTGTGTATATAAACATTTTTTTTTAAAAGACTGCATTTGTGTGGAAAGACGGCCGCTGAGTATGCCACACTCCCCTGTTTAAGTGCTTGTGAGTGCATTAGTCTGTTGCATTAAAGTTCCCCTCCAGTCAGAAATCAGTGTTGTCTTGCTCATACAGTGTGCTGTTTGAATACTGTATGTGCAGAGTTTAACACTAGAATGATATTTTCACATTCATCTGCTGAAAGTGGAAAGTTTCTCTGTGCTCATTGAACATCTGATTTTAAGGGGCGGGGCCTACCAGCATGATCTGTGACACCACAAATAGTTTGGAAGCAGAGCTGGGAAGTACAAATACTTTTTTTTACAGATATCTGTACTTTCTACATTTTAAAAACAGTCTTGTTACTTTGATATGAGTTTGTGGGGAATTATCGATTATTACAGTGCCGCAGCTACTAACACGTCACCATGCACTGTGCGTAGGGCACCAAAACAGCCTGATGATCATTAATCATAACAATCAGCGCCTAGTGTTGTCAGTTTTGCTGTCATTTATAGTCACACCACTCTGTCCTCTCCTCTGCAGGACAGAGAGCAGGACCACACGCTCACGGAGACAGCAGACAGACGGACAGAATATTTATTTTAGATTTATATTTGTTTCCAGTGAGGTATTATTGAGTGTATATAGGGACTTTGCTCTTCCTGCTCTAGAAACAATATTTAGTTATAGTTTATAAACATATCCAGTTTGGTATCATGTGAAAAACTACAACCTGTGTGTGTGTGTGTGTGTGTGTGTGTGTGTGTGTGTGTGTGTGTGTTGTAAGAAAAATAAATATTGTGTCTAAGAAGTCTAAGAATATGTTTTTAGTCAAATAACATCAACATTTCTTGGAGAAGCTTCAGTTAGCTTTGCACAGCAGAAATGTCCTTCAGAGAAACCAAGAGAGTAGTAGTTGAATCACTATTTCCATTTTACTCTTTTTTTACACAAGTGTCTATACTTCTACTTCATTAAAGACTTTGTGTACTTTTGCCATCTTTGTTGGAAGTCAACCCTGTTCTAGTATGCAACTTATACAAGTGTGATTTTACAATGAGGTAGAAGGAGAAAACGCCTTTATTTTCTCTTTTTTTAGAAGAAGAAAATGCATTATTCCAAGCAGACTATTTGTATATGTCTTAATACATGTCTGGAGGGGATCTTTAAAGTATAAAAATATGGTAAATCTGAAGGATGAACATATAGCATTTTCTACCTCAGCATGCTAACATTGCCTGTAGGATCTGCTAAACATAACTGGCAAATTAATGGAGCAGAAAAATAGCTCTAAATAGTTTAACTAAAAACTAAGCTCTATGGAAAACAGCAGCAAGAGTGAGGCTGCATGTTTTCTGTTCAACCGCCGGTGCATTTTTAAACTGCCTGGCAGCTTTTATCCTGTAAATCAAGTATTTTTCTTATTTTGTTGAAAATGAATTTTAGTGCATCATTAATAACATGCTGAATAAAACACCACAAAGTAACAATTAGGCCATACATGGTTAAGCTTGTATCATTTAAGAGGTTTTTTTTTTCTGTTGTGCAGTTTTGACTGAGTCAGCAGGAGCTTGTTTGAATATCCTCCGTCATGTGGATCATATTGCTTGTCCTGCTGTAATATTTCCATACATATAACGTTAGTACAGAAAATGTACTAAGTTGTTTATTCTATTCTTAACATTAATACAAGTTTGCATGCACATATCCTGGGCAGCCCCTAAGAATAGGCTCCGGACTGCGTGTAACACAAGGTTGCCAACCCTCAATATTCCACAATCCGTTGAATGCAGTAAATCAAAGGTTTCTGCAGAAAAATGCACTTTATATGGATGTATTTAGCATTAACTTGATACTTTTCCAGATGTCCAAAATGTTAAAGTTAACAAAGGCATCATACATTAATACAACACAAGTTGTTCCTTGTGATAAATTTAGAAATTGACTTGCTAATAGGAGCACCCAAATGCATCCGTTTTAGTCTCTGTGAGGCTGGACTGTTTCATTTAGCATGAGCACACGTAACTTTGTGTGGCCTTCAGGTCCTCTGAAGGACCCACCTTCATGAGCTGCGTCCCTCCGAGAGTCCAGGCTCTGAAATGGGACACAGCTGTTGTCTCTCCTCACCATATAGGACATACCAAAAGTAATGCATCTTTTCTGTTGGGTGACAGTTTGGTTTAGCTAAAGATCATGTTGGATATATCATTCGTTTATTTTCAAGGTAGGTGAAGGGAAAATTTTGAGCAGCAGGGAAAGTTTCTTGCTCGGAACATTTGTACAATGTTCATATTGAATGAATGGGTAATGTAATTTGGTAACTAGTTAATGTGATACATTTTAAATACTGTTTAATTTTATATTTATGCTGCATAGTATTACCTACAGTATACTATTGTTGCTGATTTAAACAAAAAAACATACATACATACATAATACATTTTTACTGTATGGGATAAAGGAAAAACAGGATACAACAAAAGTCCACTTTCTTTGTGATGACTGAACAGTGTTTTTTTTGTCTGACACAGGATAAGGTACACGAGTGTGGCTCAGATGACAAACAGTCTTTTTGTCCACAGCACAAACTTGCTCCTCTGTGTGTTATTGTTCTAACTGCTAGTCCTTTAACTTTGAAAAAGGACCTCTGCTGAAAACAAAAACTTGCAACAATGTTACCATCGCTTGTTCCCTTGAGTTCTGAAAAACTTCCCCAGTACCAAATTACAGCTACACAGAAAGTTTCTAAGGCAACAGTGCAGCTGGAGAGATTCATCCAAAAGCGAGTCATTTTCACCACAAGTAAGACCAGGCTGCATCTGAAGACTGTCTTTATTATGACAGAACATCATCAGCATCCAAAATCCAGTGCAAAGGCTGCACTCTGCAGAGGCATGTCCTCCCTCCCAGCCATCCGTTCTGTGGAAGAGATTTTATTTTTCCTGCAGGACCTTAAACATGCGCTGAAGCTCTGCCAGGCCTGTTTGAAGTCCAAGGAGGAGCAAGTGGTGCTGACTGCATGACTTTCCCTGCACAGTCATCAGACCTTAACAACACTGAACAGCTCTGGCAACATGTGAAAAGGCAAAACATACTGTAACACCTTGAGGCTCTCTCTGGGACGCTCTGACAGAGCTGGAATAAAGTGGATCCTCAAGTTCTGCACAAAAACGCACTGTGCAAACTGTGAAGCAAAGACTGGTCTCATATTGGGAAGTCTTGCCTTTCGAAAACATATTTTACCTACAGCAGTGAATAAAAATATAATCTGCCCTGAGAAATACATCTGGATAAAAATATAATTTTGGTACCGATATATGGAACCCAAAAATAATAATTAATAATAAATTGCCTAAATTATATAAATGAAATAATAATTTGTGAAATGATTTAACAAATCAATCAGATAAAAACTATATTATTATATTATGAAATGTTACTTTATTCATTTTCTCTATTTCTTTCTATTACCTTATATATTTTATCTTTAGACAACTCCATCAGAGCAAAATGTAATCTTTCTCTAGCCAACAGGAGCTACCTGCTAACACTGGTTCTTCATTCTGATACTGAGTAACAATATTAAACAAACTGGGGCTCCATACTGAATTGAGCTTTTGGTGGTTCTGTACATTTAAACCGGTTTATTTGTACTTATCACAACCAAAGTGTTAGTACTCACATTAATACCTGACATCATAATAATATAGCATGAGATTGTAACATTAGGCCCTGAAATGTTTTTCAATACGCTGAAATAAGCAGTGCCTCTGTCTAATTTAATAAGTAACCACAGGTTATTATTATTTTTTAGAGCAGTGAAATTCTGAGACATTCAAATTACACAAATAAATGCTTACCATACGAGCTAAAGTTCAGTAAACTCCACAGGCATAAATCACTTAATATGTTATTGTTATAAAGGCAAGGCAAGTTTATCTGTGTACCTTTCTACAACAAGGCGTTACATAAGACACAAAGGCATTCACTAAATATATTTAAAAAAAACACGGGAATATAAAAAGGCATGCATAAATATGATTTTAAAAATAGTAGACTAAAATAAAATAATAGGTAAGATAAGATAAAACACTAAAAAAAACGCAGTGGGTTTCAGGCCCTTGTTTAAAAGAAGAGTTTGAGCAAGTTTTCTGGGAATTGTATGCACCAGATATGTGGTGCATAAAAACTGAATGCTGTTTCTCCGTGCTTAGCCTTGACTCTGGGGACAGAGAGCAGACCTGTCCCAGACGACCAGAGAGGTGGATGGATCATACCAGAGCAGCAGATCACAACTGTTTTTTCTGGCCCTATACCCTTCAGTGCTTTATAAACTAACAGGTTTGGGAACCACTGAATTATGGTAGAGGCCTAACCTTTTCTACCAGTTAATATTAGCCTGTCTGTATGCTTGCCATGCCTCCTTGGACTGTCACACTGCTGTCACATTACATCCATTCCTCAGTTTGTGACTCAGCTCAGGATGAGTTTCCCACACACCTGTAAGTCCCATAAGTCCCACATGTGTACAAGTGTTATTGGAAGAGAGGATGACATTTTAAACAAATTGTCACCTAATCTGTCTCGGTAAGGGCAGTACTTGATAGGTGAACTTGGAACTTTGAGGGAGATAGCTTTTGAAATGTCAGCTGCAATAAAAAATAACACAATGGCTCCCAGATAAAGGAAAATATACTCCATGCTCCCAAGGGCTCAACAGAGACTCTGGTGCTGCCATGAATTAAATGGAGTAACTACATCACAGCTCAGTAACTTGTGAGATTCATACTCAGCATGGATATTTTGAAACCAAATTTTGTTAGTGTGCATTTACTTTCCAATTTGATATATATATATATATATATATATATATATATATATATATATATATATAGTAT